GCTGGCGGGTATTATATGACTCTGTTTATGGAGCTGGGGGGGAGGGGGTGAAACAGTTCTACCAGAAAGGACAGGCTCCCACTAGGAGGCTATGCTCTTTTAATGCTACCAGGAGACTGGCCCACAGAGATGCCTCTGTGTGAAAGGCCAGGCTCCTCAGAGGCACAAGGGATAGCAAGGTTGCTTGGCAGCCCAAACCAGTGTCCACCACCAGTCTTCCTTGTGACTGTCCGGACATCACCTCTTCGGGGTTATTACCGGCCTGTAGCTAAAATCTATTAGTAGTTCCTGAATTCAGATACATAAGAACTTATCCACTAAAGCTCTCCGGGAATGACAGTGGGGGAAGGGGTATCTTTTTTTTTTTTTTTTTTTTCCCCGAGACAGGGTTTCTCTGTGGTTTTGGAGCTTGTCCTGGAACTAGCTCTTGTAGACCAGGCTGGTCTCGAACTCACAGAGATCCGCCTGCCTCTGCCTCCCGAGTGCTGGGATTAAAGGCGTGCACCACCACCACCCGGGAAGGGGTATCTTACGGATGCGCTGGAGTTTGCAATGTCTTTTTTACCATCATCTGATGCTTAAGAATATCCATGGTAAGGAACAGAAACCGGTTTGAATCTTTTTAGTGAAGCTATGCAGAACCAAAAGGAAAGGGCCAGAAGCCTGCTCAAGGATCAGAGAGCCCAGCGAGGCATGGACAAGGGCTGACGTTTCCTCAGAGTGACTATTGGATGCTCAGCCTAGGCGTCAGACTTGTCCCATGCAGCTTGAAATGGGGGTCGGCCTTCAGTCAGATTACATTTGTCTGCAAAGTCCTGGGAAGGAAGTCCTGGGGGGCTCTCTTCTGTGGTTCACTCTGGTCAAGAATCAAATCTGGTGTTTGGATTAACTGCTTGTGTTACTAAGGATGGCAGGGCAGAGAGAGGCAACACCTCTTGAAATCACAATGAGCTTAATGTTGTACTTTGCTTTTCAGCTGTGCCTTTTGGAATTAGTAGGAGCGTGAGGCCACACTCCGACCCCTTTGTGTTAGGAACAAGATCCCGGTAGGACTTCTGCTGGGTGTGCTTGCCCGCTTGATTTGACATGGCCACGTGCCTATGTGCAGAAGCGAAGCTTTTCGCCCCACTGACACACTTCGGGTTGTATGGTCACTTTCTTGGGACCCCCCCCCCCAGTCCTATTTCTAAAAGCCTGGCACCCAATGTGAGAGGCTCTTTTTCTGTGACCAAAGGTCCTGGGAACTGATTCCCATCCTGGGAGGTGCATCCTGTTGCCTTCTTGCAGTGGCCCTGGATATAGATACATTACCAAGCTCCTGAACTAATGGAAACCCAAATTGGAAAATAAATCGGCATTGTCGAGATAAGGGCCTCAAGCGAGTAAGATGACAACCAGGCAACTTTCCGCGCACAAACCAAGGTAAGAAAATTGGACTATAGAGCACTGTCGTGTGGTTGGGCGTTTCTTTTGGAGGATGAAAGTGGCTGAAATGTCAGTCACAGGCTCCCTCAAAGTGGAAAACAAAAGGCGCAGGGAACACAGTGCAGGGGTTTGAGGAACTCCAGAGAGGATTTGGGACCAGGGGAAATGAATATTGCTTGTCTGGTGTTCCCCATTTAGCCCATTAGGGTGAACTTTGAGCTTCTGAACCAAGAGAAGAAGAAAAACAACAAAACCTGGACATGTTAATACTGCTTTGGTGGGTGGACGCCTGGGGGTTGTCTGAGTGTGATGGAAATGTTCACTCCCGTGGGATGCAGCTCCAGCTTCCTGCGAGGGCAAAGCAATTTGCGTGGAGTTCAGGTGGTATGAGGGTATCCACACAAACTCCCATGTTTTTCAAGGGCCTTCACTACAGGAGAAGAGAGGCAGTTGAGCCTCTGATCAAGACATTACGGTACAAGAGAAGGATGGGAAACCTGGCTCCCTCTTTGGGTAAGCAGAAGGACAAAAGTTATGAGACCGATAAGAATCATATGTCTTCTAAAGCGCATGCTCCAGTGTCCGGGAGAACAAAAGGGGGACATAAACCACAGCTTAAGACTGGGTGTCTTAGGGTTTCCACTGCTGTGATAAAACACGACCAAAAGCAACCTGGGGAGGAAAGGGTTTATTTTAGCTTATAGGTGTCAGGTCTATACTTCATCATTGAGGGAAGTCAGAGCAGGAACTCAAGCAGGGCAGGAACCTGGAGGGAGAAGCTGAGGAAGAGGCCATGGAGGAGTGCTGCTTACTGGCTTGCTCCTCATGGCTTACTTGGCCTGCTTTCTTATACCACCCAGGACCACCAGTCCAGGAATGGCATCACTCACAGTGATCCACATCAATCATTAAGACATTGCCTGTAGGGCAATCTTATGAAGGCTTTTCCCTAAGATCCCCTCTTCTTGGTATACATAGCTTTGTGTCAAGTGGACAAAACCCAGCCAGGACACTAGGTAGGTGAGCTTACAGAATGTTAATGAAAGGCCAAGAGTGTGGAGGAGGTGATTATGCTCTTTGCTGGAGATAGGTGATGTAGGAGGGTCTTCTGTCTATGGGTTACTTTCATTGGTCAAATAAACTGCCTTGGCCTTTTGATAGGCCAGCCCTTAGGTGGGTGGAGTAGACAGAACAGAATTCTGGGAGGAAAAAGGCAGTGATGCAGATGCCATGAAGCTCTGGCCCGAGATGGATGTAGGTTAGAATCTTCCTGGTAAGCGACAACCCCGTGGTGATACACAGATTACTAGATATGGGTTAAAGCAAGATGTGAGAGTGAGCCAATGAGAGGCTAGAGCTAATGGGCCAGGCAGTGTTTAAATGAATACAGTTTCCATGTAGTCATTTTGGGTAAAGCTAGCCGGGCGGCGGGAAGTGGCCCGCAGCTCCTCATTACAACAGAAAAGGACCTGGGGTCCTCTTTTCTCTGAAGCAACAGCAATAAAGTAAACAAGAGAAGAGAGAGCCCACCTTCTAAGGGGTCCTCTTGATCACCTCTCTTTCCATCTGTGCTTGGAGCCCCAGTTCTGAACTGCCAGCTCTAGTACCAGGTTCTCTTTATTTCTCAATCTCTAGATTAAGAATGAATCTTGAGCAATGACACAAGGATACCCCAAATTTTCCCTTTTCAGCAAAGGAATCCCCTCCATTCATATTCTCATTCAGCAATATTCTGGGTGGGAAAAGGACAGTATTGTCAGCATCCCCCTTCCCAGTTCAGAGGCCTTAAATTCATAAAGGGAGCTAACGCCTTTGCTTGAACACCCATATATGATGTCTGGTCAATTGGACCAATACCGTGGGCCCCAACTTTATACCTCTCATACCATAGCTGATGCAAAAGCATGAGGATTTTTATTAATTCTGTTATGACAGGGTCCCTCAGCATTTGGGAAGCCGAGAGACTTCGAATAGCTGGTACATTCAAGCTATTCGAGAAGAGGAATAGCTTCTCCTCTTTTAAAGGAGAAGGCCACAGAAGCAAGGGGGGGGGGTTGTTCTTTGACTATTATGATTGGCTTATTCAAAAGGGCTATTACCAACAATTGGCTGGAGAGCTGTTGCCAGATCAGATGAGGTAAGAGGTCATTTTGACCTCTTTTCCCAGGGGACTGAATCAAAACATACGTGTATGGGTAATTGTTCAGAAACTGAGTCAACATCTTAAAGGTTATCTTGCCCCAATTTCTGGAGAACACACATGCATGTGTAGCTGTTAGGTACTTGGTTCCCAGGCACGGAGGCTGAGAGGGTTCAGAATTGTCAGAAATGACTTCAGAATTGTCTTAAAGTTTTATACTTCAAGGAAACCTCATACAAGACAGCTATGTGGAACAAATACTGGTACATTTTTTAGTACATAAAGTATATCTCAATAAAGCTATTTACATAAAAGAAATACTGGGATAGAATGTACTCTGTGGCAGAGCACTTTTATAATGTCCTGGGTTCAATGTCCAAAACTGGAACACACGTGTGTGCAACACACACACACACACCCTATTAACCATTTACAATAACTATTTTTTTTTCCTTTTTAGGTAGAGTTTCACTCTATAGCTCTGGATAGACTGGCATTCACTATGTACCAGGCTGGACTTGAACTCAGAGATCTGCCTGTTTCTGCTTCCTGAGTGCTGGGATTAGTTCCACCAGGCCCAGCCTAGCAACAAGCTTTTATTTTTGTTCTAGAAATCTTACCTCGTCTGAGTCATGCATTCCTGAAAATTCCTGATCAGAAGTCCAAGTTGAACATGCGACTATGGCTTTAAGGGGAAAACACACTTGTTGCTGAGCTCTCAAATCAATGTTTAGTTAAAACCCTCCCAAACAATAAATTTCACTGAAATGGTCTCCTGTAGTCAATTAAGAGTTAATATGGAGCGAGGTGGTGGTGGTGCACATCTGTAATCCTAGCATTCGGGATCTCTGTGAGTTTGAGGCCAGTCTGTTCTACAAGAGCTAGTTCCAGGACAGGCACCAAAGCTGCAGAGAAACGCTGTCTCGAAAAACAAACAAACAAACAAAAAAAGAAGAAAAAAAACCCTAAGAGTTAATTTGGACTCCAGCATGGTAGCAGATCAAGGCAGTCTTCCTCCACCAGTGTGGTTGATGATGTTTTCTTTGTATATTTCAGGTCCTAAAGAACAGATACTTAGTGTGGTGGTCTGAATGAGAATGGCTCCCATTAGTCCATCTTTGAATGTTTGGTTCCCAGTTGGTAGAACTGCTAGGAGGGATTAGAGTGGCCTTGTTGGAGGTGTCTCACTGGGGATGGGCTGCAACCGACCACGCCATTCACCATTCCCACTGGTTCTCTCTGCCCTGTGCTTGTGGATCAAATGCAAACTTCAGCTACTGCTCCAGCTCCATGCCTTCCTGCCTGCAGCCATGCTCCCCAGCACAATGGGCCTGGGCTCGCCTTCTGGAACTGTGGGAGCCCCTTAAATGCTTTCTTCTGTAAGTCATGGTCATAGTGTTGTGTCACGGCAACAGAAAGAAACTAATACACTTAATGTTTATGAAATTTAATCTTTATTGTAAAAAAGGAAACAATACAAACAAAATAATAAAGACAATGCAAACGATGCTCAAGACAGTCATAAGAGCAAACTAACAAGCTGTGGACTTAGGGCAGCTCTTCCTCTGCCATTTCCTGCCATCCACAGAAGATGAGTGTTTAACCTGCTCTAGACAAGTGGAGTGCTCTCTGCCCTGAGATGGAGGCTTTAAAAGCTGTTGTTCATGTGGTGGGGAACAGTAATGTGTGTGTATGACTAGATATGGCTAGACTGCATATCACGTGACTGCAACAGCCTGCTCCTGTGCTCCCAACCCGACCAAGAAGAGCTCCTGAAACAGCACTAAAAAAATCTGGAATTAACAGTTGTCTGTCCAAAATAATGTTGAAAAAGTTGGTTGGGAAACTCAGAGGGAAAACGGACAGAAGTGTCACAAATTCTGCAGGACACATTCTGTCCGCAAGAGTGCAAGGAGAGTCCCTGAGGTCAGTTTGGGATGAAGGACGACAATCTTAAGTGTCTAGTAAGAAGACATGAGTGTGTTCACTGACTACACTGCCAGGCTGCTGGTGTGTTGGAGAGATGTCAAAGACACGGTTCTCTCACCCTGCTGCAGGAAGCTGGTGGGATATCATGTCAGTCTAGTGTGTTTTTGTTGACCTCATCACGGACCACAGAACAGTGGGTTTGCAGGAAGCTGAGCAGGGGTAGTCTGGAGAGGTTCTCCAGAGATATTGGATATTCCAAATGGCTTCCAGTACCCCAGCTCAGCCATGTGTGGGTGTCCTCTTGATTAAGGAGATGGGCTCTTGATCACGTCACTCTGCTCTCTGTCTGGTGCATCCTCCTCTTTCTGTTCCAGCTTAAAGTTCTGTGAACAAGGTCATAGATGATGCCCGTCCCCGCATTTGTCCAATTGTGGTTCTAAGGCACGTAGGGGTGGCAAAGCAGGCAAAACCCCGTATGTTGGGTTATATCGCTGAAGAAATCATCTACTTTTTCTATCATACCAGAAACTGGGCCAGACTTACCTCAAGCTCCTGTAAAACCTCATCCATGAAGTCCTGGGAACTTTCCTTGTAAGCCACAGCTAATCGAATTGCATCATTGAAGAGCTGAAGGTGAGGCAGAAACGGCAGAAGTACAGCAGTGGGCAGGATCCTGGGCCCTACCTTTATAATCCGCAGTCTCCCCCTCCACTGGCCCTTCTCATCACCCTGATCCCACAGCCAGTGGACTTTGTCTCACCAAAAGTGGTCCTCCCAGCCTCGTTCCTCTCTGCTGCACCCCGCCACTCACTGTCCTGGTTTTCCCCTTTTCCCTTCCCTCCTCCTTGGAACTCCAGGGCTCACAAGCCGCTTCAGCAGACTGCCTCTGGTTTGCCATTACCTTCACAACATTGGTTCCATCAGCAGCAGAGACAAAGTACAGGGGCAAGGAGAACTTCTTGGCAAAACTGAAGTTCTTTTGAGTCATCTGTATGTCTGCTGCAGAGAGAAGAGCATTGGCCTGTCTACCCAGGGAAAGGGACGAGTTTGGAGGGAGGGTCAGTGGAGGCTCTGTGCTAGGAAGTAGGGAAGGGACAATCAGGGACTGCTCTCAAAATAGTTAACTGGATCTGTGTCTTGGGAGGGCAGGTTTTGCTGCTGGTATCCCCATGGGGAAGGGAATATCTTGGGAAGGAAAAATGACTGACAGCTACCCATTCTTTGAAAGTAGGAAATGTGTGGTGCTGGGTCCCCAGGAATTACTGTCACCCAGGTGCAGGGGTGGCCCCACCATCAATTTTATTGGCCACCAGGATGCATGGGATCTCCGGCCTGAACTCCCGAAGTTCTGCATACCAGGTACCCAGGTTCTTATAAGTGATTTTCCTCTGGACATCAAATACCTACAGAGGGTAGAAGACAGTTTAGATGTGTTAAAGTACTTTATCAGTTTCAGACAGCACACACCCAAATAGGTATATATAAAAGACCAGCTCCAGAAGAGGACCACAGAGTAACCAATGGGCATGTACTATAGGTGAAGTTGGTCCCAGACAGAAAGACTGAAACTAAAATGGTTTCTCTCTCTCTCTCTCTCTCTCTCTCCTCTCTCTCTCTCTCTCTCTCTCTCTCTCTCTCTCTCTCTCTCTCTCTCTCTCTCTCTCTCTCTCTCTCTCTCTGACTTCTGGGGTTACACTGCTCCATTTGCCTTATTTCACACTTTTATTTAGTACCCTTGGTTATCAGAATTAAGAATTTTTAAGTTTTCAAGCAAGGGCTTTGTGCTCAAGGAACTATGGAGGAACAGGTGATGAGTTCCTTTTGTGACCCCCTCTCACTGTCCTTACCTACCAGCTGGCAAGCCCTGTCATGTGGCCTTTCTGTGCACACCACTATCAATCTATATGCCACAAGGAGTCAAGAGCCCTGTGCATGCACACAGGGAAGAGCAGAGAAGGCTGGTGGGAGATGGTGGCATTTAAGCAGAGACTGAACCATGAGCAGCATTTTCACTGCATGGGTATAAACTGCAGAAGGTTAAGAGAAGAGCAGATGGGGGATGCTGAGAACGGACCAGACCTTTCTGTATCCCCTTTGTGCTACTCCTCATGGATGAGATGGTACCTACTCAAATGAGAGCAGTGGTAGGCATATTGTAGGAGGTAGGGCTAGACAGGTTAGGTGGTGTCAAATGCTATAAAATGCCAGGGCAAACAACATTTTGTAGGTAGACTTACACCAGTGGTGTTAACTTATCCACCCCGTGGGTTCTTATCAGAGATGTGGCACCTTGTTTCCTTCCTTTGTGATAGAGCCAGAGTGACTTTCAGAGCTGTCACCTAACAATATGGTTCCTATCTGGTTCTCTTTGGGCACTCAGCCATGAGGTGTAGCTGCCATTCTGTGAGCAAGTCCACACCAGCTTTTACTGACAAAGTGTTCTCACTTGGTGACAATACCTAGGGTTCACAATTCAGAGAACTGGACTATGGGGCTGGGGTTCAGCTCAGTGGAAGAACACATACTAAATATGCACAGTCTTGGGTTTATTCCCTAGTATTACACCCAATCCGAACCAAACTGACTCATGCCACAGATGCTTGGTATGGTATTCATGAGAATCTTTTATCCTTGGCTTAAAATAAAAACATATTCCTTCAAAGCATGTAAGAGTGGTGGCCTAGAAAATGAATGAGCAGCCTGGGAGCTGCGGGGCAGGAGCGCCCAGGAGACAGATTTTCAACCTCACTTGAGCCTTGTGCACACTGACTTTTGGGTACTTTTGTGCCATCTGGGGGACTCATGGTAACTATCCTAGGTAGCACAGTGAGAGCTTTGGAGGGAGGTGAGGGCTGACCCGAGAGGGAAAGGTCTCAGAGGCAGTGGTGATAGTGGGGGTTCTCTTCAAGTTTCACTGTGGGTGTGCTCCATCAGTAGCCAGCTATGGCCTTGTCTCAGCCATGTTTTCCTCGGACACTACAATGGTTACAGGAGCCCAACTTCTTTGTATTTTCTTTTCTTTCTTTTTTTTTTAAATCTGCCCCCATCTTAGGATAGCTCCTCTGTCTTTTTTTTTTTTTTTTTTTTTTTTTTTTTTTTTTTTTTTTTAGCAGCTCTAGGGTGAAGCGTTTGAGTGGTCTTGAACCCTCTCCTACACATCTATATCTGGTAGTGGGGCCATGGCTCCTTACCCCTGGGCCAGAATTGCCTAGTGCCATTTTTTACCACGCAGTTGGTTTCATACCATGATGCAGGCGTGAGCCTTGTGGTAGTAGGAGGCATGCATGCTCTGGAACCGCTCCTGGCCTGCTGTGTCCCAGAAGTCTGCAACATGAACACAACTCTGTCTGCCCAACGGGGTTGGGGGGTTGGAGGGCAGAGACCCCCCACATGCCCCAGGCATTTCCATGCAGGTCTCTATGCAGAAACATGCATGCATTGGGAGAGGTGTGTGTGCACTGGTGGTGTAGGAAGACATGGAACCAGAAGGAGGACAGTGCAGACAGCAGCCCCAGAAGGGAAAAAGGAGGTACTCTTTGTCCCCACACTGAAGACACGGGGCCCTTCAAAACTGAAATTCCCAGACGGTGGACATTCAGGGGTGGCCTAGTGACCCCACAGGAAGGTCATGTTCTACATTTGAGAAGTAGTCAGGCCACAGTTGTATTTCTGTTTTTCTTTTTCTCTCTTTCTTGAAACAGGGTTTCTCTGTAGCTTTGGAGCCTGTCCTGGCACTCACTCTGTAGACCAGGCTGGCCTGGAACTCACAGAGATCCACCTGCCTCTGCCTCCTGAGTGCTGGGATTAAAGGCGTGTTCCACCACCACCCAGCAACACAGATGTATTTCTTGGTACTGGCTGAACGCTAATCCCTGTCAAAGGCCTCTGTGCTCCTCTTCCCTCTTCCAATGTCTGCTTTTCTAAATCCCGACTTCCACACTGATCCTGGCCTGGGTGTTACGAGACTGTATGTGCTGTGTGCCTCTCTCCGACTTCCCATTCTTCTTCTTCTTTTACTCTCCCGTGAGCCTCTTTCCTACCACCCCATCCCCTGCTCAGCGTGGCCTGGGGCCCATGCTGCTCACCCACAAGGATGGTCTTGCCGTCTACTGTGGCCGTGTGCTTATACAGGGTCAGAGCATATGTGGACAGTTGTTGTGGCTGACTGGATGCAGGTTAAGGAGCAAAGGTGAATACAAAGAGCTAAGGAAATGGGGAAGGGGGACATTTGTGTGATAGAATTGGCCCTCTTCTTACTTAGCTTTTCTTAATTTTTTGAGACAGGTCTCACTCGGTAGCTCTGGCTGACCTGAAACTCACTATGTAGACCAGGCTGGCCTCAAACTCATAGAGATCTTCCTGCCTGTCTGTCTCCCAAGTGCTGGAATTAAAGGCCTGGGCCACCATGCCTGGTCCTTTTTTTTATTGAGATAGTTTTTCCAATGTAGCTCAGGGTGGTCTCAAATTTGTGGCTATCCTTCTGACTTTGTTCTCCCTAAAAAGAAGCTAGATTTCAAGTTGAATGAACTCTACAGACAGACAGGCCCAACTTTAGTGGCACAAGGTTAAGAAAGGGCCTGGGCACCTTAGTGTGAGGTAACACGGAGCAGGGTTTTGTAGAAAAGCTGTCTTAAATGGTAACACAATGCAAGAAAATGTAACTGTGGACACTTGGAGTCTTTTGTGGACAGAGTTCTTATAGGCTAGAGCATCATGACTGCCCCACAGTAAACACCAAAGGCCAGGCAGCTGACAAAGTATCTACAGATAGAAGTTCACTTGTGTGTAAAACACTAACAAAATACCTGAAAAACAGCATCGTTTGAAGTGGAAATATGCTGGACAGTTTACTGAGCAAAGATGAAGCAATTAGGTGGGGTTTGGTACAGATTGAGAGATATCAGCCTTTGGGGGCTAAGGCCAGGGGAGAGAGTCACAGGTCTTGCACTATTGCATGCAACCCTCAGGGGTCCACTTGGGGAACTTTAAGAAGCTCTCAGTTATGGCTCCTTACTCCAAATCTGTACAATGCAACAGTTCACAGTATGAAGGAAAAGCCGACACCCCACATTTTATAAAGCTTATTCCTATCAAAGACATTTTAGGCTCTGAGGAAAGGGGTGAGATGATTTACCCAAGGTCAGAACTAAGGAGGAGGCAAGACTGGCATCCAGGCATTTGATACAGACTAAGTGCTGTCTGCTACTCTTCCTGTCTTCCTGGCAGAAACCCCACTATACGTTAGCTCTAGACCCAACAGCCTGGATTCTAGAATGCAGTCTGGGTCAGCCAGTGAGGAGCTGGTGTGCAGGAAAACCATTGATCTTTCCTGGGCTGCGGGTAAAAAGGAGTGGACTGGAGGTTAAGATGCACGAGTGGGAAAAGCCACAGGGACAAAGGACAGTTCAAGTCTTTAAGGATACAATCCATCCATGAGAAACCTCTCCATGAGTCTGTAAGGGAAATGTGTGAGGTCACAGGTCACGCAGCATCTCTAACTTCTTGTCCCTACTTTATCACCCCTGGGCTGACAACCTGGAAGCCACGGGGGGCTTCTTATCTCTTGTGAATTTTCAGTCAGTTTCTAGTCAGCCTGCACCGTGGGAATCACCATTACCAAGGCCAAACGGCCAACCCACTGGTGCCACTCTCTGGGTCAATCTGCATGGGGCTCTCTGACCCCTTATTTTCCTCTCACATACTGCTACACACAGAATTACCCATCTATGCAGGGGAAACTGAGGCCAAGAAGACTATTCTTCAATCGGTAGTCATTTTCTCAAGACTCTGCTGTTCCTTAAGGCTTTGCTTAGATGTCACCTGAGCAGGAAGGTGACTGTAGGAGGTAAGACGTTCCACCTGGTTTGAACTCTTTCGTTTCTCCCTGACCTGCACAGAACCCCAACAGAAACACTTGTTGATTTACCTTAATGCCTCTATCAATCAGAACAGAGGATGTGGCACAGCAGTTTGGGAAGCTATAGTCTACGGGTATCTCCCAATGTCCAGGCAGTGCACTGGTGCCCAGTCAGCATCTGAACACATAGATGTGAACACAGCTAACAAGCTTAGTTTGGTATATGTCTTGGAGTCACAGGATAGCCTTGAAAACTTTTCTTGGTGTTATAACTACTGGTTCCCAATCAGACCATACAGTAAATCTAAAGAAAGAACAAAACAACAAACCTCCCATCTCCTAGAAAGATATTAAAATCATATGTATGTGTATATATATACATATAATTTACATAACAGTCATATAAGTTTTAAATAAAAACAGATTTTAACGCTCCTATGATTATTAAATTTCAAATGTCAACATGATGCAGTCTAGAATCACCTGGTGGGGGGGTCTTGGGGCCTTGAAATACTGAAAACTGGCAGAGAATTCTTGAGTCACATGAAATGAAAACAAGGTTTTCTCACCCACCAACCTTCTTCTAGACACAGATTCTACCATGGTCTCTCTCTCTGCTTGAGGTCTCAAAGGGGCTGGTCTTTAAAATGTCCTAAAGGTCAGAACTGTGTTAGTCTTTCGATGTTCTGTTAACAACTTAGATTTTTTTTTTTTTTTAAAAACTACATTAAGTTAGGCTAATGCTGACTTAGGAGGCCCCCTTGGGCTTCTCTCTAGCCCAAATTTCCCTAAAGGTCCATCAGTTGCCAAGTCAACAACTGGTCTTTTCTTGTCTGCCACTTTGGTTTTCTGTGTCAGTTCTAAATTCAAGTGTGGACGAAGGACTGCTATTTACTGGGTAAGCTTCCAAATCCTTACCTTAATTGTAAGGGACATTGTTGAGGTGAAGACAATTGTAAAATACGACATCATAACTTTAACATAAGGTAGAGAAACAAATGTGAATTCATGAAGCTGGCCTAAAACCAGCAAGGCCTCTAGGGACTCCTCATAGCTATCTGGGTCTGAAGTAGAATGTGAGGTGATCTGGGATCTGGCGGGGTGGAAGACTAAACCAGACATTTACGTAGGAACAACTCTATCCTCATTCTTTGACAGTAGAAATGGGCATGCACCCTGGCTACCTCACCCTGGATGGGTGAGAGGTAGGATGCTGGTGGAGATAGGCCAAAAAAGGACCGCAGAGCCTTTCTTCAGCTCTCCAGGTGGAGAGTTCTATCCCTGCTCAGACAGGCGCTGAAGGCAGAAGAATAATCCCGTCTTTAACACCATCACAGTCAACATCATTGCTATCTGTGCTTTCCTACTCAGGGAGTCCCTCCCAGAAAGCATCTTTACTGCCTCTATTCTACCCATCACATTCTTCTCTCCATCCCTGTCCCACCCTAGCCGTCCCTCAACCCTCACACACGTAGTGACACCCCACTTGCGACCTCCTTACTCTGTACTATTCCAGTGATTCCCAGGGTGACCCACTCTACAGCTCTGTCAAGACTCAGAAGGTTCCCCGATTTCTGTCCCTTTGGCTCTCTCCCATTTCCTCATAAATACGGTTATAGACATGAGCCTGTTGTTCACATACACACACATTTGGGCTCCAGTCAAGCCTCCCCCTCTTCAGCTAATAGAAACCACACTCTTCTTCATTTCTGGAGGACTTTTCTAATCAAGCCATTCTGGGATTGTTTCTTCTTCCCTAATCTCCCAACATACTTGGACTTGCCCACCGCACTGTCCCCCAGGCAGATGATCTTCACGTTGTCATGGGCATCGTATTTCTCTTGGTCCAGCTCACAATGTTTGGCTCTGTCCCCTGCCATTAGCTCTTGGCTGTAGACAAGACCCAGCCTTGGAGTCTTATCACTGTCTGGAAAAGTCAGTGAGAAGCCACTGTTAGAGATGAGAGCTCCCTTCAGTTAAATCCACTTTCTTCTTTTTCCTGAAGAGCTGACAGAGGGCCCAAGGACACACACACATCCTGACAACTTGGCCATCATCTACTGAGCCTTAGGGCTGCAGCTCTGCCTCTGGATTCTTCTGTCACTTCCTGTTGCAGATGTGCTCGGGCCACACCTCTCCTCCTACCTTCCAGACTAGATTTACAAGTTCAACATACAAGTGTCCTTACTTGTAAAACACAAAGCAACAAGCAACAACAACAGATAGTGCTTAAGTCACACAGTAAAAACGAGGGGACACTAACCATACAATCTGTGATGCCTGACCCATATTCTTGGCCTACCTTCCTGTTCCACCTTGTTGCCATCAGCAGCTGCCTCACACCCCCTTCACCTTGGTATTCCTCACAACTTTCTTTTGCAGGTGCTATTTTTGACCTCCAGTACAGTGGTTCTCAACCTTCCTATTGCTGTGACCCTTTAATATCCCCTCATGTTATGGCGACCCCAACCATAAAATTATTTCATTGCTACTTCATAACTGTAATTTTGCTACTGTTACGAATCATAATGCAAATACCTGTGTTTTCCGATATTCTTAAGGGACCCCTGTGAAAAGGTCGTCCGACCTTCCAAAGGGTCGTGACCCACAGGTTGAGAAATGCTGCTCTCATAGTGTCTAACGCTTTCTAAATGTAGGTGATACAAACCATACCTACATCAAGGTTTTGTCTTTCACGGCCTGAACTCAAATATTCAGCTGCTCATTAGATTTGTAACTAGGACACTAGGGCATATAGGAACGCTACCCTAAACATAAACATAAACTTTAGCTCTGTGCAAACTCATATTCCTATTTCCATAAGTACAAGACATCGGTGTCAGTCAGTGTCAACACCGGTGTGTCGCAGCGTCTCTAGCCTGGTCCACTCGCTTCATACCCGAACAAAACTGCTAGGGATGCCCAAGCCAGCTTCTAACTGGGCGCACAGCAATTACACTCCAGAGCAGCAGCAGTTCGCACGCACTAATCATTAACTCGAGCAGACATTGAAGCAGGCTCAGTTGGCTGCAGTGAGGGACATGACACCAGTCTGGAATACAAATCAGCAACAGGGTCCCGCGTTTGCACGACTGTATTTCGGCACGGCCCCGGCCCACGCAGGAACTCAGGCTCCAGCAGTGACTAAAGGAGAGCACAGCGGGGACTCTGCCCCTTCAACCTCCATCCTGCAGAGGGAGTGATCCGTTCGAAAGCCAACCCCCCAGTCTATCGATTCGCGAAGGAACCCCTCAGTGACTGCCATTGTCTTCACAGTCTAGGGGGGTAAAACTCTTTCGTGTGACAAACGTTTTTAGGCGTCCCACCAGGCCTAACCGCCATCTCTCGTAAAGGACTCGCGAACCGCGGTCGGGCCTCCGCCCGGTCCCCGCCTTCCCTACTCCCCACCTCTCAGGCGGGTTGTCCAGGCACTTTGTCCTCGCCTCGGCCTCGATGCGCTCGCTCACCACAGGCCCTGGGCCACCAAGGCTTACCCGCTAACAGGAGACCGCACTCCGGGTAGCGGCTCGGCCGCGTCTCCGCCGCTGCTACGCGACCGCACCAGGACCCCGAGCTGGGCTGTCCGGCAATGGCCCGAAGGACCCTATCGGGGCGCGGGCTGGCTAGCGCAGTGCCTGGCTGCCTGGCGCCCTCCTGGATGGCACGTCTGTGGCATTGACCAGGAGCTCGGCAGAGTGGCTGCACTCGGCTACTGGCTAGGGGTGGGAGTGGGAACCGCAAGTTGGAGAGGCAGCTGAGCAGCCGCAGGTTGCTGCAGGTTGTGGTACCTTGATAGGAGAAATCTAAGCAAGTTTCTCGACTTTCTCAATCTGTGGGCCATCACTGTATTCTGTTTATGCGGTCGGATGAATGTGTGGGTGGTGGGACACATTTGGTAAGTGTATAAAATCTCTGCGATTGAATGAAAAAAAAAAAAAAGAGAACTAAAAAGGAAGGACATGACTGCTCCTAAGTATGGTTGATAAAGTTTATTGTAGATAAAAGAGGAGGAACCACACCCTGCCCCACTACAGTTAGGGGTTTCTCTGGCAGATGTTTGGAAGTAGACCTTAATGCTGTGTGCTCTCTAGGACCTGCTGCTACTGGGTCCTCCTAGAATAAGGGATGGGGTTGTATGGTCGCAGTCAAGTCTCTGAGAAGTTTGGAGGACTGGACCAGACGCAACAGAGCTGGATAGACAGCATACACGGACAATTTGGCTAGCAAGCCTTTGCAACCAAAGGCTCGCGAGAAATGGGGAGAATTGTTCCAAGTGAGCCAGCAGGAACACCTAACCACCACAGCGACTCCATTTTTATCCTGAGCTCAGGGTGCTCCTTGAAGATTAAGAGAAGGAACCTATGGCCAGAGCTGTATTTTTAGATACTGGGAGACTTGAGATTTCTTCTGGAGGCTGGTGAATTGAAAGATATTTAAATATAAAATTGCTAGGGAGGTGTGATGTCAAAGATGATTCTAGATATTTGGTAAACATCCTACTTGCTGTTTGGTTACTTTACGCCTATATTAGAGGGAGGGAGGTAAGCAGGAGTTGCAATATAGTCCTTCAAGGTGATGGACTGACACCCTCGCTGGGGCCAGCTCTGTGATGTCTGGTTTTGTTTGGTTTTGGTTTTTTGAGTCACGGTTTCTCTGTGTAGCTTTGGAGCCTGTCCTGGAACTCACATAGTAGATCAGGCTGACCACAAACTCACAGACATTTACCTGCCTCTGCCTCCCAAGTGCGTGGATTAAAGGCGCGTGCCACCCCCCTGCTCAGGGCTTTGACTTCTATGACCTCAAGGCCACTGTAAGTAACCTGATTGTTCTGCATTTTGTCTTTTGTTACAAGCTGCATTTCAACTGTGAATTTAAAACTTTTTTCTCTTCATTTCTTTTTTCTTTTTGAGTCGCTCTATTGCCCCAGATGACTGCAAGTTTATGACATTCTTCTACCTCAGTTAAGATTACAAGTGTGTACCCTTCTCTTGACCCAACTCTGAGACCTTTTAATGGCTGCTAAGGAATTACTTTTCCTTTGGGTTAGAGAGATGGATAAGTGGTTAATAGCACTGACTGCTGTCCCAGAGAACCTGGGCTCCATTTCCAGCACCTACATGGTGGCTCACAACCATCTTTAACTACAGTTCCGGGGACCCAACACTGTTTTCTGTCCATTGTGGGTACCAGGGATGCACAGACATGCAGACAAAAACTGCCTGCACGTAGGAATAAGTAAATGAATGAATAAAAGGAATTGTATTTTCTTCCTGGCAAGGACCACTGTTGTTTTTGGAAACCCACCGGCCTAAGCAGCCTTGCCCTGAGAGACATTTTCATAGGGATGATGGTAGACTACACCGTTCTTAAGGACTGGATGGGGTGCACTGTTCTGTGTGTGAGGTAGTGAGCCTTCTGCTTCCTTCTGGGACAGAAATGCCTCCAACACAGTGCTGCTGGGCCACCTCTGTGCTCTGTGCCAAAGCTTTGACCCTCTTCCTTTCTCCTTGGAAGCTTTGTTTGTTTGTACCTGGAGAATGTGTTGCTCAGAACTTCTGATGAAGATCAGGCTACAGAATCAGTCTGGCAATGCTTCCGCCTCAGCCTCTCCCATTTCCTCGGGTTAGGGTTGCACAGGTGCTGAACTCATGGTCTGCTTTTACTATAAGTTTAGCAGCTAGCTGTGTTCTTAACGCCAGTTTGATTAAATAAATAGAGGCACAACTCTTGTTACATTAGGGATTCTGACGGAAGGCGCCAGCAGGGATAGTTCTTTGTTTCTCCTGACACTGAGTGTGAGCATGCTTGTGAAACACACGAACCTGTTATTAAGGCTTTTAGTACTCCATTTTAGAAAAACCCGTATTCAGTTGCTCATTCCATTTCTTTACTAGGCCATTACAAAAACAAACAAACAAAGCGACAAAAACCCTTAGTGTCCTTCTGAGCTTTATCGGTCATTCTGGACCACACAATGTGTCCATAGCCTGAAGAAATGTTGGGTTTTTACCCAAATCTCTACAATTGCCCTATTTCTGTTTTTAATTCGTTCTTATTCTTTTTTTGTGTGTGTTTGTGTTTGAATGCATGTGTGTGGAGACTAGAGGTCAACACTGAATATTTTTCCCACTCACTCTCCTGTAGTGATATTTCATTTGTATTTTAATAAATAAAGCTTGCCACAGGGCAGGGCACTCTGACTTTTCTTAGGACTGGAGAGGGAGGGGGAGAGGGAGGGGAGAGTGGGAGAGAAATGGGAGGAGGGGAAAATTTTTAATAAATAAATAAAGAAAGAAAGAAAGAAAAAAAAGAACCAAGCAATCACATCCTGAGTTGGGACATGCAATCTCCAACTCTTTGTCAGACAAGGTGGCAATTGGCCCACATTTTTGTGCCTCCACACTTCTCCCCAGGTGAAGGTTGAGAATTCACCTCACCAGAGAACAATCTTGTCTTTCCTTTCCTACGCCAATGTTTGGGACAATCTGTGCTCTTACACAGTGAATAAAGTGGTCCGTCTCCCTCCTATGTCTTTTTTTTCCTCCCTCATCTCTTTCTCTCTCTCCTTCTGCTAGTCCAGCAGCACACATGAAAATACAGACAAAGGACTGTGCGTGGGTTCGGTATTACAGGAATGGTCACGTATGCTCTCACATGGCAGCACGCCTGTGCCCTGGGTCACAGCGAGTCAGGAACAGGGCAGGCAGCTAGGCTCTTGGATGCTGCTAATCTGGAACAGCAAAAGCACGTGTGTTCAGGAGTGCCCCTAATCAGGGAAGGAAACTGGCACAGACGCCTGTGCTAGGGCTTCAGCTAGTCAGGAAAAACAAAGACACCTGGATTAAGGCTGGTAGCTAACCAGAAAATCATAAACACTGGGGGGCACAGCTAACCAGGCA